TCTAGAAAACCAGGTCTTCGAAGGCCTAGCAGCAAAAACCATTGTCATATTCGGAATCAGCATAGTCGATAACCTATTCGCCGCTAGGTTTCAAGAAAAAAGCGAGCGGACACTTGGGACAGTTCCCTCGTAAGATTAAACCAAATTAAAAAGTCAAGTGAACGTGGCTTAATTATTTAAATGATTCTGTGCTCAGTTTTCAATTAAAGCTTTCTTTCGTTCTTCTTTTCTTTTTTTTTTTTGCATTTTTAGCCGATTCATTCATGTCGTGTTATTAAGTAACGCCTTAATTACGTCCTGTTCATTAATAAAATCTCTGTTAGCTAAATTTTCTATTGTATTAAAAAGACAATTTTTACGGTTTATTTTGGACATTTTCTTTGTTTCTGATACCGCACTCTATAAATGTACGATTACGCGCCATCTTTAAGAATTTTAAATTAAAAGTCATAACGACAGAAGTTTACTGAAAACGTTTTTTAAGCATTCTAACAGTTACCTAATCATCAGTTTTGTCCACATTGTAAAATCGGAAATTATTTATAGAAAATGCCTGACGATTTTCAAAAAGCCAATATATGAATTCATGAGGGATTTTCTGGAATCTAGAAAATGCTAGGCGAATTTCGATTTAGAAATTCCTCAGCGATTTTATATATGGATTTTTTGAAACTCGAAAAGTCGGATTAACTTCTAGAAAGAAAAAAACCGTCGAGGAATTTCTACTTTCCAAAAAAGGGACGTTCACTGTCTATCCAGAGGTACAAAACTTTTTGAAGTCGAGAATGAAGTAAAATTTCAATGCTGTTTATTCAACGTCTTTAATGTTTCGTATTTATATTAAATCTAATCAATATGGCAAGATTTAGGTTTTAGTCGGCTTTTTTACTAGAGATTTTATTATCGAAAATTTATTAAAAAGGAGTACTTCTATATTAGAGTCTTTTTTCGTATTATTAATATTAGGGGCCAGGATTTATTATTCTTATTGCTTATTCTACTATAAATCATATTTCTATTATAATGTATTTAATGTCAACTTGTTTGTACAAAGTAGCTTTTTTTCACCTAAATATTCACGCGATATTGAATTCTATGTTATTTAAATTTTGATCTAGTTAAAAAGACTTCTTTTATACTATTATAATTTTTATATTATTAATAAATTTATTTTATTTTAATTACTCTTTTGCCCGATCTTTATTAATGTTTATCCAAATAAGTAGTTAAATTTTTGGAAAATGCTAAAATCAGAAAAAGAAAAGAATTATTTGCACGACGTTTCAGTTTATGATCATCAAAGTCGACATGAACCTGTTATAGGATATCTGATTTACGGCGAAGGTAGCAGAAAATGATTTCATTTTGATGAAGTTACAGAAACTACCACTTTCTGTATAGGTGAGCGATAATAAACAATTTTTTCAAAAGAATCGCTTCAGAGAACCAAAGAGAAAATGTTTTGATAGATTTTCTTTGTTCGTAAAACGCATGTTATCATTTGACACAGTGCTTCGGATAGATCATGAATCTGGCATTTACTTTAAAACTTTTCTATCAGAGTAGTGTGAAAAATACGAAATACTTCTGATAAAACAATCGGGTCTCCAGCAGAGATGTCACGAGACACATTTTTTTCCGTATATCACTTATATGACATACGCGTGTGTGATTGAAGATATCTACGTTTTCTTCACATTTTAAACAGTGTCTATTATATAAGATACTTTTTATTAAAACGATCTAAAGACCACTTTTATACTCGAATCTTTTTTGCAGTTTATATCTGCTTTCTTAACTTTCTCAATCAGAATTGAGGCGAACATGGAAGAACTTAGAGAAGTCTGAGATTGAAGCTGTCTTAGAAATAGCATCAGAAATTTTCTAAAAGTTCAAAAAACCGTTAACGTAGTTTCTATGACGAGTAGGGAGAGTGTGTACAAATAAAATTCCTGTATACTTTATTTTAAGCTCAGTCTCGAAGCGAATCAGGTGAATGATACACCTTGACTGCATTATGTTCCTGAAGGAAAAACCGGGTAAAACATCATGAAATCAGTATGTCAATTACCTTAAGAAACACTTTATTTTTGAGAGATCTTCTCGTACAGTTTTCTTTTCATAAAGATCGCTACATAAGGATTAATCGACATTAAGATAAATTGAATTTTTATGTTCCTGTATTTGACTGTCTCTTTTCATACCTGAATGTCGTTGAGAAATGTTTCTTACATTCGTACTTAAAAATTAAATTACGACATTAGGAAACAAATTCCAAAAATCAGAATTTTTCTGCTCAAATCAGATGATCTTGGATCCTTGCTTATACCTCCCATTTTGCTCAAAAATCAACTTGTGTTCGTCGCCAAAGTAAAAGTTTAGCTCAAGCCAGAATACCTACTCTGTCGGATCAAAGAGCACCCCACTGAGTACCCACTGAGTAGAGATCGTTATTCCAGAGAGGTTCATAGAAGCTTCTACTGCAATTTACAAAAATATATATCCTCGTGGAAAGCAAAAGTCGCACACAGTATTTTTAAGATATTTTCCTCACGAAAATATATTTTTACAAAAATGTATTCTGATAGTGCTTGGAATTCTCTATAATTCTATATATTTATGTCTGGTCTTACATTTCTTTCCTGAAAAATAATTTGAGTACAGCGAAGGTACCCCCAAATGACAAGTACCAAAAGCTGCATTTTTTAGCTACTTTTATAGCTTTTTCCACATCACCTGTTCTAAAAGATTTTTTACTGACCACGAGAAAGAGCACATTCAGAAGTACAAAAAGAATGACTTCTCACTTTTGCAACAATTTTTTTACGGAAATAATAGCTAAAGGAAAAAGCTCAGGTGGAAAAAATAACAGATTTTCAAAGTTTTCATTTTTTTCGTCTTTCCTATAATCTGCCTAGGTTTCTTGATTGAAGCTCTAGAATTAAAGTTTAGGTATGGTTTTGTAGAGCATTTCGCGGGGCATCTTTTTAAAAAATCATTAACTCTTGCGTCATAAAGAAATACGAGAAAAATAGCAAATACTGAGATGCTACATCCATCACAATTTCTGGGAATCTGACGATGAGGGGGCCGTTATTGCACTGAATTTATTTTTCAGCAAATAAATGCAATACAGAATTATAGAGAATTCCAAGCGCTATCACAATATGGGGGATCACTTTCTATAAAAGTATATTTTCGTAAGCAAAATATCTTAAAAATACTGTGTGCAACTTTTGCTTTCCACGAGGATATATGTATACAAAGTTTTGTTTAGAGTACCGTGGCAGGATACAAGTAAATGATATAGAAATTACGGAAAATTATTATAAAGAAAAAAATATGATTGAAAATGTTAAATTAACATGGAACAACTTTTTAAAAGTTTTACGAACAATTTTACTCTCTGATCCAAATGAAAATGAAATTGATGAAGCCTTTTATATAATGAAAAATAGTTCGGGAAAGATTGATACGAAACAAGTTATACAATGTTTATTATTTATTCGTCCAAGTCTTGTTAAAAAGCAACAAGAACTCGAAACAGTGGAAGAAATAGAAAGAGAAGAAGAAAATGTTAACCCATTGACAAGTAACGAATTTGACTCAATTATTAAAAAGAGTACATTTCGCTCAATACTATGTAGTCATCATGGTTCAATTCAAACATTTTATAATGATTTAAAAGATATTCGAGGAAATAGTTGGTTAAACACTGATGAAGTATGTCGCATACAATAATAGTAGACAGAGTTAGCAAGTGCTCTATTGTTATCATTTTCTAGAATTTGAAAACAATTAAAGGATTTAAACTTTTTTGCATTGAAAATAAAAAAGGTCTATTATAAAACCACTGAAAATAAAAGGTTTGCTGAGTAACTAATGTTAAGACTAAATTTTGATCAAATAATATTAATAAAGAAAAAAAGAATCATGTCAGTGAAAGTAAAAAGAGGGAGAAAATATGACTAATATGTACTGGAATTTATTCTTAAACATTTTCTTGATTACTTAATACTATTAACTACAAGCGAATAATAAAAGATCAATTGTTGTATTGTAACAAATTTCAAGCTTTATATGAAATTCTATTTGCAGTTATAATTCTTTGCTGCTTCTGAAAGTTGGAAAAAGTTAAGTGTTGAAAGAACTGGTAACTTGTGCTATTGTATTATATGACCTACCCAGGAGTAAAAAAACTGACAAAAAACGCGTTTTTTTTATCGTTTAAACTCGTTTTTCTTCTATCTATTCCTATTCGTTAGAAAAGGCGTTTTTCCAAATTTCGCAACGCGTTACTTTTGTGTTAAAAACGCACAAAAAAAGCTTTTTCAAATGTTCTAGAACGCGTTTTTTAATCGTTAAAAACAGAATAAAAACGTGTGAGAACAGAAAATTTTGGTAAAGCCAAAGGTGGGGCTGGGCTACTCAGTAGGACCTCATCTAAAAGTAGTTGAAAGTCTATAATAAAGGAAGCACAAAACTGACGATCTAAAACTGAAAAAGAATGAAAAGAAGATGATATTTCTTCGATATTTCGACTGTGCTTATATACTCAGCTGATCGCAAAACAAGACGGTGAATGCCCTGGCGTAAAAAAAGGGGCAACGAAACGCGTTTTTTTTCGTTTTTACCAACCAAAAAACGCGTTAAAGGTTTCAAAACTACCGCTAATAAAAACGCGTTTCAGAACGAACAAAAACGCGTATTTTGGCCGTGACTAACAATCATAAAACGCGTTGTAGCTCATTTTTTAACGAAGCTTTTTTGACGAAAACGCGTTAAAACGACCAAAAGAACGCGTTGTTTTTGAAACCGTTAACGCGTTCTTATATAAAATGAACGCATTCCAACGATTTTAACATCGTTAGAAAACGTGTTCAACAAAAACGCCAGAAAACGGTTAATTTAATGATCATTAGCAAACGCATTATTCTAAACTTCTGAACAACAAAAAACGCATTTAAATGGCCCTTTTAGCGATCGTTTGCTAACGCATTCGAAAAAAGCGAGTTTTTCGTGCCATTTTTAACGAATTTTCTCACCTGGACTAGAACATTGCAAAGAAGCACACGTCTGGCACTGGGATGTCTCATAAAAGTGAGCTTACAGCTAGAAAAAAAGGATATTAATTTTTTTTATCACTAAACATTTTTTGATACAAATGATCACCAAATTTGTCGACATGTCTCAATTACACACAGCAGAGCGTCCGCTTTATACAGAGGGCAACGGTGGGCAAGATCTGAGTACAGTGCTCAGCGCTTTACAGTGAGTGTCATGGATAAGCATATGGTAATAATATTCTCCTTCTGTTGCTTGTATTATTCAAATGAAAGCTAGACAAGGTTCTTCGAATTGCCTCAATAGTTAGTATTATGTCATGAAAATTATTAATACAGCGTCAAAACGATTTTAAATTAAAATAAACCATTTTTGTGATAACGTGTGGTCCAGATTAAATAGGCCTGGTACATGAGAAAGTCTGTCTAGCTAACTTCTATCCTACCAGTCCGATTTTTCTCGTTTCTAGTTAGGGTTTCTAGAAAACAACGCTTTTTGACGTACATGTTCCGAGTGAAACTAGTTTAAAAAAAAACTAAACGTCAGAAATATATTTTGAAGGTGATATTAGTATTCAGCATTGAAAGACGAACATTTTAAAAAAAAGTCAGCCTCCAACGCAAACTTTGAATTTTTAAATTCATTTTCAACTTTTAAATCTCTCAGCACAGCAAGGCGATAGAGAGTTCGTTCAAACGGCATTTGAAAGAGAATTGAAAAGTGAATAAACGTAGATGTTTATGAAAGTTTCAGTACCTAATCTTCTCAGATTTTGAAGAGTTTTTCAAAAGACCTCTTTTGAATTTTACTATAAATTAAGTCTTTTTAGTGTACACATTTATAATTAACTTTGTAGTAATTTTATTTAATACAATGAA